TAAAGTGAGCGAATTAGTAAGTCGTGAAGTGATCAAGAGAGAACTATTTGCGATGAATTTTGACCATCAATAAATTACAAACGACAATGACAAAGTTTTGAATAAGGAGATGATCACCAAACGCCAAAACAATACGAAAAGGTCGCGCAACGAATGAGAGAAGCTCTTTTGATGCATCGTCAAACCAATACAAACTAATGGAACCACCCAACATGACATTAATTACACCATTAGATGCCCCACGCACTACGGATAAGACCTCAAGAGAACAAGAATGTCAAAGAAGCGATGTGTTCAAAAAGCAGACCCAAAACAAACAACACTAAACCACATTTCTTCTTAGATTTGACTCTTGTCCCTCGTAGCAGCAAACACCGCCCCCACCACCATAGATCATTGCTGTGAGTTTGTGAATGAACATATGAGGGCTGAAGCCTTATGAGGCGTCCAGAGACAGACAAAACTCTCTCTCTCTCTCTCTCTCTCTCTCTCTCTCTCTCTCTCTCTCTGTACAGAGACAAATACCTCTCTCTCTCTCTCTCTCTCTCTCTCTCTCTCTCTCTCTCTCTCTCTCTCTCTCTCTCTCTCCGTTTTTGCCCTTTCTCACTTCGCCAAGTAAAATTTATCATTTATTTGCCTCTATTGTTAAGGATTTATTTCCATATCGTACGTAACCTTTGATACTAGATAATATATTCATTTCTTGGTTTCATATATATATATATATATATATATATATTTGGTGGAATCTTGGTTTTCACATGTTGCAAAATCTACACCCATATATACTTTAAAGAGAGAGAGAGAGAGAGAGAATTATATACAGTAAATGCTAATTCATCAGAATTCATCCGTGTGATAACGCGGGCCGAGATTTGACCAGGTTGTCCAGCCCATGACCAACCACAAAGTGGCAGAAATATGTAGCCCATATTTGCAGGCCAGGCCCATTCCGTTGTACAAGGGTTGTTGGCTAGGGGCTTGTGTTCTGTACATGGGCAACGAAATTAACGAAACTGAACAACAAAGACACTGAATAATGAACGAATGAGAGCATAAAGTTGTAATTTTAAGACGATGATATAGACAGAATTTCATGCATGGTTGGCCATTAAAAACAATGTGAAATCAGAATTACCTCCTTATTTTTGAGTTTCTAGAACTGCCCCTTTTCTACTTTGATAAAGAGAAAAGAAACAAATATCCCTTAGAGTACATATGTATGAAATTTTACCATTTACTTTTGATTAATATCATTTTTAATCATATAATTATATTAGTGAAAAGGGTATTAAGTGATGGGTAAAAATCTAGACTCGTACACTTTAAAATTAAGTTTAACAATTTTCTTTTTGATAATTCAGTTTAAAAACCAAATTATCCCAATTGAAAACCTACATTTTTTTTTTCAATTTTCTTTTTATCTGACGCATTTTCTTTTTTTACTCTCTTCCTCTGGCTAACTACTCCAGAGGCAGTATATCTATCCCAAAACATCATATTTATAAATGTCCCTTATTAAAATAAGTCTTTCTCTTATATGTCTTATGGAAATGCCTTTTTTTAATGAAAAAATTCTGCTACTTAAATATGTTATTTTAAAAAAAAAAATAGATAAAAGAAAGAGAGAAAGGGAAAGAGAAAGATAAAAGAAATCACTCCTATGTAAACACACCAAGGAAATGTCATTTTTCGTATTCTTCATAATGAGCCGGTAAAACCTTTTTAATTTTGGGTCAAAGTACCTATGTTTTATTCAAAACCTAAATTGTTATTAAGATCATGCACATATTCTTCTTTTAATTTTGTCCGCGCATATTCTCGTCTTCCTTCACATGCGAATATTATGTGTTATTGCATGCGCTAAATAAATTTCTCCTCATAAAATATGAAATATCACCTTTTCAACTGAAAATTTCAAAATCCTTGACAATATCGCTTGTGACAGTTGGCCTACTAATTCAGTCAAAGAAAACCCTGTCATTAAAATATGCACGTTCCCATTCATGAGGGACAGAGAGAAACTCCAAAACACTATTCAGGTACACATTGTGTCCTCTATTATATCTTTATATTTTTTATTTATTTTATTAGATTACGTTTTTTTTTTTTGAAAGGTTATTAGATTACGTCTTAGTTTGTTGTAAATTAAAAAAAAAAAAAAAAAAAAAAAAACCCCCAA